GGACTAGAACTCACTGTCCCCATGTGATTGTCTCAAAGTCATCCAGCCACCTTCCATGCCTAAGTTGGAACTAGAATTCACCATCTCCTGGTGAATGGTTAAAAATCACCCTACTGGATTTCATTCCTAAGGTGGAACTAGAACTCACCATCTCCTGGTAATTGGCCCAAAGTCACCCAACCGTCTTTCATGCCTAAATGCAATATCAGAGTCAAGTGTCCCCAAAATGCTGCAAACAGTCATAAGTGTGCCCCAAATGTGGCCACGTGGCCATCATCAGGGGATGAATGGCTATTAGAACTTCAGAACTGGGTGGTGAATACCTATTGTGGGGGAGGAGTCCATTTGAACTTTGAATGGTCATTATGCAACCAGTCGTGAGTCGAGGACAACCTGCATGTAGGACAAGCCGTGGACCCCGCGTGCCAACTCTGGTGGACCTCCCAAGGTTTTTGAGGGAAAACATCTTCCTGATCTTCTGCCAAAACTGAAGACAACCTTTCTCTGTTTTGTTTTATTTTAAATTCAGGGTGGCGTGATTGGCATCCAGATTGAATGGGATTGCAACCTAGATAAAAAACCGTCCGAATGCAACCCTCACTATTCTTTCAGTCGCCTAGATAACAGTTTTGCGGAGAAGTCCATCTCCTCTGGATACAACTTCAGGTGAGGGAGAAGGAGGCATTTGGCCGAAGCATCCTCAAGTCTGCAACTTCGGCGGTTTGTTTTTTCTGAAATGGCCTCGGTGGCCAAATTCGAATGGGATTTAATTGATCAGGTCAGCCAGGCTGGAAGGAGGAGTCAAGTGAGGACCTAGCTTGGAATCCTTGCATCGCTGCAAGAGGCATAAGTCTGAACTACCTGTTCTGACCCAGCTCGGCAAATAGGACAAATCCTCTGATGTGAACTCAAAAAATTCCTTTATTAGGCGCGCCAATAGCCCCGGCAAAACGTTTCTCTCTCGCCGCAGGCTAACCAGTTCATCCGGCAGGGAGATGAATAGTTGTTTGCCACATCTCCGCCCTCTGCCGTTTATCCTGAGCTCGGGTGGGGCTTTGCTAGCAGCAATGGCCCTTCCGTCCCAAGGACCTTCCCATAGATTTCCACTGCTCTCCTCTCCTCTGTTTTCTGTGCATTTGTGCGTCAGGCACTGGACTCAGCTGTTCCTCCTCTTCCTCATCAGCCACCTCCAGATCTGGGGGCTGTTGACTATCTGATGGGAGGCCCAGGTTTCACCTCTTATGACCCCGATTGAGCTCAAAATCCCCATTGTTAAGTGAGTGAGTTTTGCCCCATTTTACGCCTTTCTTGCCACGGTTGTTAACCGAATCACTGCAGTTGTGAAGTTAGTAACTGTCGTGCCCTTGTTGGAGTCTGATTCTGACGGGGAGATGTAGCAGCTGACAAGGAGTGGGAGTGTGGCTCCGGTGGCTGTGGAGGAAACGGCGGAAGGGCACAGTCCGGCTGGGCATTCAGAGGAAGACCCAGGCCCACCCCCTCTTCATCCTAGGGCACGCAGGGAGGAATGGAGAAGGGAGCAACGTGGCTTACGAGAGAAGAAAAGGCCCTGATCCCTTTCATTAGTTGAGGCTGGAAGAACAGGGTATAAGAGGGGCGTTTTCACACAGCTCGTTGCTGGAAGCAAAGTGTGCATTTTCTTCGTCGAGGCTTATCTGGGTTTTGGCGTCCTCCTAACTGTGGTTGCTGCGCTATCTCGTGAAAGTCTGCAATTTATCATCCTGGCCTGCCGTTTTAATTACTTCAGTGTGGTTTGTGTTGGGTTTTTTTTATTTCTAATTATCTTTACTTTTGTTTCGGACTGCGTTTACTGTCTTTGTAGACTGTTTTTGGAAGAGTTTGATATGCAGTAGAGGATAATTGGACATTGGGGCCCAAGTTGGAGGCATTAAAGGGAATTTATTCTACTTTGTGTTATTTTTGTGGTCATGCCCCGGGTCATCACAGTAACGCAGCTGTTAAGTGAATCTGATTTGGCTCACCAGAAAGTCGCAAAAGAGGGATCACATGATCCCAGGACGTTACAACTGTCATAAACCCATGCCAGTTTCCAAGCACCTGAATGTTGATCAAGTGACCATGGAGATACCGCAACGGTTATGTGAAAAACTGTCATGTCCCCTTTTTTCAGTGCCATTGTAATTTCAGTCACTAAATGAATGGTTCTAAGTCGAGGACTGCCAGTAATCAGACAGTAAAATCTGTCGTGATTCAACCGGCGATAAAAGCCAAAGTGGGGGAAAAGAAAGAGACTTTTCCTTTTGCTTGGAAAAATTTAATCGTATGACATTTGATGATTTTTATTTTATTTTTCAGATTTGCCAAGTATTACCGGAGCGCGGCTGGTGTTGATTTCCGAATGCTGATCAAAGCTTACGGGATCCGTTTCGATATCATGGTGAATGGCAAGGTGAGGTCAGAGGCACAGCTGGGGAAAAAACACCACAGATTTGCGATGGTAGCGAATATCTGTAGCTCGGGTATAGCATGAAGATAGAGGTTCGTTCCTCGAGGTTGTGGAATTGGTTTTCCAAACGTTTCGCTACCAGGCTAAGTAACATCTTCAGTGTGGCTGAGGGGATGTTGGGGGATCTGTGTTCTTCTTACTGTCAACTAAAAAAAAGACTCCTTTGATCTTTTTAGTTGCCAGCAGAAAGGGAGTGGGGGGAAAACAGTGCATTCCTTAAATGCTGCAGATAATTGCTAGGCAGCCGAAGCTGCTGGCGCGCAAGATTATTACTGGAGAGCATGATTGATGACTTTTGGCTATGGATGTGTCTATACATCCAGGGGGTGGGGAGGGGAAGACCGGGGTCAAGGGGGAAATGAATGATGTTTCTTAGCGTCGGATGCACCCAGGTAACACCGACATGGTCACTCCTAATAAATCCTTTTTATTTTACTCTGAGAGATGCAGCTAGAGACTTATGATTTGAATGGGGGTGGATTTGTCAGAGTCCTGACACTTATAAGGGTTCGTGTGGTGAGTGGTCTTGTATGGTGAGTGGGGAGATCAAGTCAGATGAAGATCACATTAGGTGAGGGTCTTGGGCAGGGTGGGATTCTAAAATCCCAGCAACCGGTTCTATGCCTGGTTGCTGGGTGGGCGTGGCCATGGTGGGTGTGGCGTACCAGAACTTTCGGGAGGACCCTTTTTTGCCTTCCCCAGAGTCCCGAGGCTTGCCTTGGGTCTCTGGGAGGGCGAAAATGGACTTCCTCGGGCCCTGGAGGGCCTCCGGAAGCTGGAAACAAGCTGGTTTCCAGACTTCTAGAACTTCCGATTTGGCTGTTTTTTTGTCTTCCCCAGAGTCAGGAGGCTTCCCTCGGGCCTCTGGGAGGGCAAAAATGGTCTTCCCTGGCCTCCAGAAGCCAGAAACAGCCCGTTTCCGGACTTCCTGAACTTCCGGTACTTCCGGTTTGGCCAGTTTTTCACCCTCCCAGAGCCTCCACGTGGACCCTACACTTACCTGCATCGAAAATGGGCTGTGTGGAGATTTCTGGGTGGGGGAGGGGCGGATGGGTCCAGCAGGTCAGTCCAACTACCAGTTCGGCAAACCAGATGTAAATTTAAAATCCGGTTCACTTGAACCGGGCCGAACCGGCTGAATCTCACTCACTGGTCTTGCGATGGTTTCCTGCTTGACCAGGGGGTGGGACTAGAAGACCTCCAAGGTCCCTTCCCACTCTGTTCTAAATAATAGAGTCCCACTGGGAGAACTGTCTTAAGGCTCAAAGCCAGGGGTGTCATACATGTGGCCCACTGACCGGATGCACCACTTGTGGGCCACACCCACCCCAGCTCCGCGAATGGGAAAAACGTTGCGATATATTACGTGACAGCAACGTGACGCAAGTTTGATACCCATTGTCAACTCGTAAAGCATTCCTGGTCTGCTCTGAGTTGCCATAGGCAGGAGAAGAGGGGGAGAACTGAGGGAGCAGCTTGGCTGCTATGACCAGAAGCACATTCCACGCACACCTTTCTACAGACTGTGTCCCAGGTTACCAGAGCCAGCTGGAGAGGCGTGTTTTGTACAGCCCAGGAAAATTCTCTGTTGGAGAATGTGATTTATGACACAACCTGGGTCATAGGTGGGCAGTAAATTACATGGGGCGGAGCCAACTGCACTAGGGAAAGTGCTGACATGTTGCTCCTAATAAATAATTGGATTTCTTTTGTAACTTGGCTTGAGGCTCTTGAATTAATTAGGGCGTCCATCGGAACCCTGACACCTGTGCTCCAAGCCACTGTTTCTCAACCTTGAACACTTTAAGCTGTGTCGCCTTCAACTCCCAGAATTCTCCATCCAGTGATCCTGCTGGATGGCCCCATTTAAGAAACACTGGTCTTAACCGGTACAGGAAGTCCTCAACTTACAACAGTTTAGTGACGGTTCGAAGATCCAATGGCACTGAAAACAGGGACTCGTGATCGTTTTTCACACTTACGACCGTTGCAGCTTTGCCACGATCACGTGATCGAAATGCAGGCGCTTGGCCACTGACTCATATTTATGATGTTTGCAGTGTCCCGGGGTCACGCGATCCTCTTTTTGCAACCTTCAAGGACTACCTGCACAAACTTTAAAATCTGGGCACATCGCACAAATTCACTTTTTCGTTTGTTTTTTTCTTTTCTTTTCCAGGCAGGGAAATTTAACATCATCCCAACGGTAATCAACGTGGGATCCAGTCTTGCGCTAATGGGAGTGGTAGGTCAATCATTCGGTGTGGAAGCGATCTATTGTTGGATTACAGGCCGTCCTTAGGAGTGGCGCGGTGGCCTAAGGGTGGAGTTGTCGCCTCACAATCTGGAGGCTGTGAGTTCGATCCTAGGTAGAGGCAGATATATTTCTCTCTCTGAGCACAATGAGAATATATCTGCCGAACAAAACTCCGCACTGGCAACAGGAAGGGCATCCGGCCAGTGAAACACTCGGCTAGCTCCATTCAATTGCCCAGACTCCAGCCCACAAGGGATTATGAGTTTGTTAGAAGATGATGATTAAAAGATGACAGGCAGGCTTTGACGTACAACTCTTCATTTAGCGATGGTTCAAAGTTACAACAGCACCGGAAAAAGTGGTGCAACCAGTCCTCGTACTTATGACCGTTGCAGCATTCCCATGGTCACGGGATCATAATTCAAGGTGTTTGATAATGAGCACATCTTTATGACTCTGGAATCATAAATTTATGGTTCTAGAATCAGGCGATCATTATTTGTCACCTTCTCAGCTGACTCTCCAACCAACAAAGTCAATGGGGGAAATCCGGAATCGTTTAATGACCGCACGATTGACTTAATGATTGCAGTGATTCACTTAACAACCATGGCAAAAAAGGTTATTAAAATTAGGTGTGGCTCACTTAACAACAGCCTTGTTTAGCAACTGAAATTCTGCTCCTAATTGTGGCCGTAGGCCAAGGACTATTGTCTTATGTTATTATCTAATTACAGGGAGTCGAATTATGACCACAATTGAGCCCAAGACTTCTGTCACTTAAGTGAAACATTTGTGAAGTGAGTTTTGCCACATTTTATGACCTTTTTTGCCACCGTTGTTAAGTAAACCACTTCAGAGGTTAAGTTACTAACATGGTTGTTAAGTAAATCTGGCTCTTCCCTTGATTTTGCTTGTCAGGTGGTCACAAAAGGGGATCACATGTCCTTGGGACACAGCAACGGTTGTAAGTACAAGTCAGTTGCCAAGCATTCCGATCATGTGACCATGGAGATGCTACAATGGTCGTATGTGTGGAAAAGCGGCCATAAGTTACTTTTTCAGTGCTACCATAACACTGAACTGTCACTAAACAAAACTCTCGCATTGTATGTTGAGGGCTACCTGTATTATCTTATTGTATCCTATGTTATTAAGATATTATATATATCTTACTAGCTCGATACCCGTGCTTCGCTACGAAAGTATGTGGTCGGGCTTAGTTTTTGGGGAGGAAAATAAGGCGGGAAATGTGCCTCTGCCTACCAGCATCCATCGGTATTCATCTAGCTGGTGTCCTGTCAGTGTGTGAGAGTTGAGGGCTGTTTGGAAACTGAAACAGTATTTGCTGTGTGAGCAAGGAGGCAGCAAGGAGCCTGGGCGTGGCTTAGCTCAACTGTTCTGTACTAATGCTGCTTGGTGCTCTGAAAATGAAACTTGTCAGAATATATTCATGAACTGGAATAGAACTTAGTAACAAAGTCAGCCAATGACCAGACAATGGGAGCTGAATTGGAAAGTGAAACTAGAAGTGGCCTGGGTGTGGCTCTCGTCTTGCTTGCTTGCTGAACTAAAGTGAAACTTGTTTGCTGAAACTAATATCTGCTCTGCCGCTGCTGCTGCTTGCGTTTTTGCTTATGTCACATTGAAAGAATCTACAAATGGTATTGTAAACTTTGCTCATTTTATTGTTTATAAAGAAGTTAATGATCCTGCTGAATCAGTCATCTGTGTGCTTTCTGGATTTGAATTTAGGCTGCAAACTCTAACAGAACTCTCCTCTGCTTGTCTTTTGCATTTGGAAGAGATTACTTTTCAGGTGGGGAGGGGGAGTAGAACTCCTTAGCATCAGAGCCTGTTAATAACTGTAGAGTTGTAATTGCAGGAATGTTCCTATCTCGGATGGCAAACCTCAGATAAAGAATGTTTCCAAGCAAATACAACTCAGGCAAACAAAGTCACTAATCTAAAGGAGGATTAGAGAGAGGAAGTCAACATATGTTAGACTTTAACTAGTGATAATTAATTACTGTGCTAAACAGTAACGAAAGTTAAGCAGTAACCAAAGTTAACCAATGATGGAGGATAATTAAAAATGTGTATAAATGCAAGACTAGACTCCAATAAAGATCATCATGATTCAGTTGTTCATGATCAAACAACTCGACTGTCTCGTTATTACAACAAATAACAATAATATAGGAAATGCTAATAGCTCTGATGGTCATTTGGAAAAATCCTTTCTTAGTGAGCCCTTAGAAGCCAAGAGGAACATACGTGCCAAATTTCAAGTTTGTAGGCTTTAAGATTCTGGAGATTTTGTGATGATGCATGAGGGGTTTTTCGCTTCTATATATATAGATCAGTGGTGGCTAACCTTTTTGGGCTCCTGTGCCAAAAATTGTGCATGTGCTTACACGCTTGTGCTCCCAGCACCCAGAAGTCAATGTGTGCCCTCCGCTTGCCCCCTATGCCTGTGCATGCAATCCCCACCCATCCACTTGCACCTGCCACCCCCTTACCTGCACTACACCTCGGCTGGTTGGAGGCCTTTTTCGGCCTCCCAGAGGCTTGAGGAAGGCTTCTGCAGGCTGAAAACTAGGCCTGTTTTGTCACTTCCAGTATTTCCGGTAAAACACGGTGATGAAACGGAGCTAGTTTTCGGCCTGCAGAAGCCTTCCTCAAGCCTCTGGGAGGCCGAAAAAGGCCTCAAAGCGACCAAAAATCAGTTGTGAGGCGGTCCACATGCGCCGTGAGGTAAGTTTGCCTGCAGCTCGTATGCTGGCACAAATGCCACCTGTGGCACCCATGCCATAGGTTCGCCATCACGGATATAGGTTATCTGACCATTTAAAGCTGCGCTTTTGGGTTTAAAAATAAAACATAATAAAATATAATTTAAAAACCCTCATTATTTTTGCACGCAACTGCAAATAAGAAACCTTTTTAAAAAGTGATGTTTAGCATGTGGATTTCCGCTCTGTTTATATGGAATTGTTTCTGCCATCCAACCCACCCAGGGGGCGTTTCTCTGCGACTTGGTGCTGCTGTATCTTCTCCGAAAGAGCCAGTTTTACAGGGGGAAAAAATACGAAGAAGTGAGGTAGGTTGCCTGCAGCTGCAAAGCACTCTTGATTCATAGATTTCTTATTTCCTGACAGTGAGAAGAATTAATCAGCGGGATGACTTGCCTTCAGAAGCTGTGGGTGCTTCATCACCGGCGACTTTTAAGAAGAGACTGGATAGCCATTGGTCTAGTGTCTGATTTAGCTGGGGGCTGGACTAGAAGACCTCCAAGGTCCCTTCCAACTCTGTAATTCTGTTCTGTGTAAAATAGTGTGTAAAAGGAAAAAAAAAACCTACCTATGTAGTTGGTAATAGTCCACGTTGATTTGATGGTCCATCACCAAGCAAAGTGTGTAAACCTTCTAAATGCTGAAACGGGGGACAAGGAAGGGAAGGGAAAGTCTTCAGATTGCATCAGATCTTCCGTCCTTGCGGAGGGTCTTAAGATGGGGATGTCGGTCTCAAAATGATGGGATCTAGGTCACAGGAACCTTGAGGAATCTAAAAAAAAAATCCCTTGGAACGTTGCAAAAAAAACTTTAGGGAATTCCTGGAAGTTTGGCCTTCAGACACAACAGCATCTACAGACACATAGAGATAAACCACATTCACACACCGTTTTAAAAAAAAAGACATTAAAAAGCTAACAAGGAAATAATAATAAAATAAATCTGGAACAGATCTTTTCTAGCAATGCAGGTAAGCGGGGATTAAACCATCAAGCAGGCAAACCATCAGAGAACAATCACCAAGGAAGTACCAAGAAAACGACGCCTACACCAACACCGGCAGGGTAAACTAGTGTATATATTCTAGTCTGTTTCCTTCTTAGCTTTTTATCCTTTCTTTTGGATGGCTGATAAGTCTGTTAGTGTATTGACAAACTCCACCCCAGGACAAGCTACTACCGATAGCGCTCGACTTACAACAGTTAGTTTAGTGACCATTCAGAGTTACAACAGGGCTGAAAAAAGTGACTTATGACTATTTCTCACACTTATGGCCATTGCAGCATCCACACAGCCACGTGATTTACATTCAGATGATTGACAGCTGGTTCATATTTGTGATGGGTTCAATTGTGGTCGTTAAGTCGAGGATTAGCTGTGTATATACAGATAAACAGATAATCAAGAGTCGGAAGGGACCTTGTAGATCATCTAGACCAGGGGTTGCCAGCCTTTTGGACCTCAGGGACCACCAAATTCATAATTTTAGATCCCAGGGACCACTAACTGGTTCTGTGGGCATGGCCTAATTTGCGGGTGTGGCTTGGTGGTCATGTGACTGGCTGGGCATGGCTTGCATGTAAATATTATAAATATTTATATAAATATTGATTTTTTTTTTTTAAAAAGAGCAACTTTTACCCAAAATCAGGCAAAGCAGGCGGGCAGATTGAGTTGCTCACAGAATCACAGATTCATTCAGAAATCTATCTGCCATTGGCTAGCTCAGTCTGTCACATAAAATTTGCTTGCAAGCAAACTCATAAAATTAACTCACAACACACCATGCATGTAAATATTGAATTTTTTATAAAAAAGAGCAACCCAAAATCAGGCAAAGCAGGCAGATTGAATTGCTCACAGAATAATTCAGTGATCTATCTATCTGCCATCAGCTAGCTCAGTCTCTCAAATTCGCTTGCTGTGAGTCTGCACTGAATTTGCTTGCAAGCAAACCTTCAGTCCTAAGGGAGGTTCGGCCGTACTTAAAGCAGAGCCGAAGATCTAAAGACTAGCTAGAAAGCAAGAAATCCAACCATTTCCTGCTTCCTAGCTAATCTAAATCTCCCGGCACAGCAGAACAGATGATGGTCAGAAAAAGGAAAAATAGCAATTTAGCAGGTAAGTTTGCCAGATAAGGAGTGAATGGGGCAGAGAGGGTTCCCGCAGGCCATGTGGACAGCACAGCCTTGTGTTTCTGCGCAGCCTGGATTAATTGCTTTGGGGGTGCTCTGGGGGTGAGATTTCTCTGCGGCCCACCAAAATTTTCTCACGGCCCACGGGTCGGCGAACGCTGATCTGGACCAACCCCCCACCCAAGCAGGAGACCCTACACCATTTCTGACAGATGGCAGTCCAGTCTCTTCTTGAAAGTCTCAAGTGATGATACTCCCACAACTTCGGAGGGTAACTTCTGTTCCATTGGTTGATTGTTCTCCCCACACTCAACAGTCCTGATGATGCTACCTAGTTGGGTGATGAAACATCTGCTAGAAAGCCACCAAGCTTAGAGACTCCACATTTTGCTGATTTTTCCCAACTTTTCCTCGTGTAGGTTAAACAACCAAAACACTTTACCGGCAAGCACCGTCAACAGGAACCAGGAAGGGAATCAGAGTGAAGATTCTTTATCTCAGTTGGATCAACTTGAAAAACTACAGACAGTCGAGACCTAAAGCTGTGTTTTTCTCTGGAAACTACTCATCCCAACGCCATCAGTTGTTAAGAAAAACCACGGACTACAGAAAGCTGCAGGAAGGGATTCGCTTAAGCTCTTAACTGCCTTAGTTTTTGGCATCCTGAACCTAGGATACCACACGTGGCGGGATTTTAACGAGACCAAATTTCCAGGAAATCTTGAGTGAGGACCGTAGCGGCGTGGTGGATATACATTCTCTTTTGTGTGGCTTCTGGATAACCTAACACGGCAGTTGCCAAGCGTATGTCAAAAGGCAATTGACGAGCGGAGAGGACAGTTGTCCACCTTGGAATTATTATCATTGTTCACTGCGCAGTCGACCGGATGATTAGACTGCATTTGGCATCGAGTCCTTCCCAAGAATGGTGCGGTGGCCCAGAGGTTGCACCACAATCAGGAAGGCTGAGCGTTCGATCCTAGGTAGCGGCTGATATTTCTCTCTCAGGGCACAATGAGAATATATCTGCTGCAAAAAAAAACCCCACCCTTCCTCATTGGCAATAAGAAGGGCGTTCGGCCAGTAAATACTCAGCCCCGTTCAGTTGCCCCAACTCCATCCCACAAGGGATTATGAGGTCATTAAATGACAAAAAAAAGTCCTGCCCGAGACCCCGGAAAAGGCAGATGTGGATATTTGATGATGGTAAAGTTCTCGTTGCAGGATGTCAACTATTATGAGTAAATCCGCCTTTTGCAATTGACTGTTGGCAAATTTGTCAATGCCAATGGGCCTTCAAGTGGTGCTGGGGTTGTTTTGGGTTTGCCCCCAAGGCACCTATTACTATGGATATTACCTTTGCTTTGTTTTGCCAGTCATTTTATTACAGGCAGTCCTCGACTTACGATTCGTTTAGTAACGGTTCGAAGTTACAACGGCACTGAAAAAAAAGCGACTTATGGCCGTTTTTCACACTTAACGAGCTTTGCAGCAGCCCCCATGATCCTGGGATCAAAATCAAAACTGACTCATACTGGTGACCGTTCCTGTGCCCAAAGATTAATGTGTGTCAGGATTCTGGCAGTTGCCCTAATTAAATCATGAGCCTCGAGCCAAGCTTCAAATGAACTTATTGGAAGCAAACATGTCGGCAGGAGCTAGTTGAAGCCGATTTTGAGACACGTAATTCACTGTCACTGGGATGACCCAAAGGGGCGTGGCACAAAAGCAGCAAAGTCACAAAAGTAGGTAATTCCTCCAACTTGGCCCCCAATGTCCAGTTACCATCGGCTGGAGAAAAAAAAAACCCTCCCAAGAACAGTTTTTTAAGGGAAGAAATTCAGTCTGAACCCAAAGTACATCTAAATTATAAATAAAAACCGACACAAGCCACGCTGCAGCAATTAACGAGACAGGGCAGGATAAGGAATTGCAGACTTTCAAAAGATAAGATAAGACTCGACAAAAGATAATGCACGCTTTGCTTCCAGCACGTAAACACCCTTTTTATCCTGTTTTCCCAGCTGCAGCTAATGAAGGGAATCAGGGCCCCTTTCTTCCCCGTAACCCATGTTGCTCCCTTATCTGTTCCTCCCTGCGTGCCCTAGGATGAAGAAGGGATGGGCCTGGGTCTTCCTCTGAATGCCGAGTCGGACTGTGCCCTTCCCCAGTTTCCTCCACAGCCACCAGAGCCACACTCCCAGTCCCTGGCAGCTGTTTGACTTACCCCTCAGAATCAGATTCCGGTCACGGGGCATGATAGTCATCCTTGCTCTGGTTTCTCCTCCACCTCTTTGGATGCATCATAATTCATATTCTCCAACGAAACACATCCATAGCCCAGAGTCCTCAATCATCTTCTCCAATTAGTGATTTGCATGACAGGAACTTCAATCGCCTAGTTACAATCTCTGCAAGTTATGAATGGAATACACTTTCGATTCCAAATTGCTGCATTGCACAACTCCTCCCCCACTTTCCTGTTGGCAACTAAAAAACAGGCATAGAAATGTTTGATGAGCTGACGTGATTCCCTTTTGCAACCTCCCAAAGTCAACGGGGGAGCTGGATTCATTTAACAACTGTATTACTAACTTATCAACCTCAGCGATTCATTGTGGCAAGAAGCATCGTAAAATGGGGGCAAAACTTAACCAATGTCTCACTTAACGACAAATTTTGGGCTGAACTGTGGTCATAAGTCAAGGGCCACCTGTAATTATCAAATTTATTTGCCGTCCATCTCGCACTTCAAAGCGACTCTGAGAATAAGGATATGCTGGAGCATTCTTGTTGTCAACTCGTAAAATATTTCTCTGGTCTTTTTTAGAGTTGCGAACAGAAAGGGAGCTTGCAAACTGAAACTGCATTCCGTAAATGTTTTCAAAGATAGTAACTAGGTGACTGAAATTTCTGCCCTGGAAATATCTAACTGGAGAGCATGATTGATGACTCTGGGCTATGGAGGTGTCCCATCGGAGGATATGAATTACGATACACCCAGGGGGTGAATGGGAAAACCAGGGTCAAGAGTGACAGTGAATTATGTGCCTCAGAGTCGGCTACACCCAGGCAGTGCCGACATGTTAACTCCCAAATAAATCCTTCTAAAGTTTTGAAAAATTGGCTCAAGACTCATGATTTAAACGGGGGTCACTGCTGGAATCCTGACACTTGTTTGAAATTATATGATAGCGAGGCTTTAATCGTCTTGCTTCCCATTCTGCTATCCGCTTTGAATCTCTTCCTGCAAATTGTTGAGCCTGTGGAATTCAAAAAAAATAAATTCTTGAATTCAAAATAAATCCAGGAATTCAAAATAAATTCTTGCAACATGCACAAACCATTCTCCAGCCTGTGGGATTAGGCCGGCATTCTAAATAAATTCCTGCAACGTGCATAAACAATTCTCCAGCATCCAACCAACTCATCAAACGTAACTCCACGGTGAAAATGGGCTGGTCATTGTCATGCCTTGAACCTCCACTTCAGGGAAAAAAAAGAGAGACTACAATTTTATTTTATTTTTCTGCAATTTACACACAACCCAGGTCTTATTTTATGACCGGTGCAGAGTGGCAAATCGCAGGAATTAAATCAGAATATTATCTACGGAACTACAAGCCATACTCCTGAGGGCTGGTTCACCAGGAATTTCTGTATGCTTAAAAGATAAAGTGGGTTGAACTGAAAAGTTTTTAAAAAATGAACATGATCATAGAGGGGTTTTTTTTAAAGAAAAAACTATAAAGTAAGAGAGATTGTTGTGTTTGTTATTGTGTTTCTTTTTGCAGTTTGGGCTTTTTTTCCCTCATTTCCTATTTTTCCTTTTTATCGGAGGTCTTCAAACTTGGTAACTTTAAGACTTGTGGATTTCAACTCCCAGAATTCTCCAGCCAGCTATGCTGGCTGGAGAATTCTGGGAGCTGAAGTCCACAAGTCTTAAAGTTGTCAAGTTTGGGGACCTCTGCTTTACATCCTCACAGGGTGGTTGTTGCGAGGAAATTAGGAGGAAGCTTTAAGTATTAAGTCACTAAGCAAATGGCTGTAAGTTGAGGGCTGCCTACAATCCAGCAACTGCAAGCACTCGACTTATGACCGTTAAGGAGCCTGCCCATGAGTCTTAAGTTGTGACGGTTGTAAAGGGGGGACATCCACCCAATTTTATGACCTTATTTTTTGGTTGCCACCGTCGTTAACTGTTTGCTATGGGCTGTTTTTGCCCGAACCTGGAAATAAAAATGGCAAGTACGTTGTAATTCATGGTCATGTTAAACACAGGAATACAGAAAACAGCGGTAAATGCGGGCTGGTTACTAATCGGCTAAAATGCAGTTGTGTCAGTAGGGGGAAGAGTGTGTGTCAGAACTGGGTCGTAGATTTCACTGTGGAGGTGAGTGAATACAGGTCAAGGTGAGTGAACACACAATCAAGATCAGGTGAAGGGTTATTACGGCTTTAAATAGGCCTTGGTAAGGCCATACTTGGAATATTTTCACCCAGTTTTGGTCACCACGATGTAAAAAAAGATGTTGAGACTCTACAAAAAGTGCAGAGACGAGCAACCAGGATGATTAGGGGGCTGGAGGCTCAAACATACGATGGATGGTTGCAGGAACTGGGCCTGGCTGGTCTAGTGAAGAGAAGGACCAGGGGAGACAAGATAGCAGTCTTCCAATATTTGAGGGGCTGCTACGAAGGCGGCTGGGGAATTCTGGGAGTTGAAATCCACGGGTTTTAAAGTGGCCAAGCTTGAACACCTCTTAACACAGACCGACATTTACAGTTTCTTTGCTGAGACACGGAAGCAATGAACGCAAATGGGAGATTGTGACCCACAAAAAATGCATTTGCGGCGGCTGCACGTTTCCCCCTGAATTTTGATTTCACAAAAGTACCAGCGAAGAAGCATTGAGGGGCAGTCAGAAAAGGAAAATGCTTTGATATTTGTAGTTCAGGACTGAACTGTGGGGCCCTTGGTGTTCCCCGAGCTTGGTGGTTTTCTTGCAGACGTTTCACGACCCAAATAGGTAACATCATCAGTATGTGTGATGGTGGGATTTGCTGCCTATTTATATATAGTAAGCTTGCCCCGGGGTGGAATTCGTTAAGAGACAAATAGACTATCAGCTATCAATAGATATGTAGAGATGAAGCACATTTACATACCATTCAAGAGAGACAACGAAAAGCTAAGAAAGAAACGAAAAGACCAGAATATATTCTGTCCACACTCAGTTAAGAAGGAATTAACACCAAACAAGCAGTGAACAAAACCCTGTGTGTGTGTGTGTGTGTGTGTGTGTGTGTGTGTGTGTGTGTGAGAGAGAGAGAGAGAGAGAGAGAGAGAGAGAGAGAGAGAGAGAGAGAGAGAGAGAGAGAGAGAGAGAGGGAAAGAATGGCATATGCTACTATATATTAACAGGGAGCGATTCCCATACTTCTAGCACTGATGATGTTACCTAGTTGGGTAATGAAATGTCTGCAAGAAAACAACCAAGCTCAGAGAACACCTAACAGTCATCCTCCTCCTCCCTGCACACACCACTCCGTTCTAGCACTGAAGATGTTATCTAGTTGGGTAATGAGATGTCTGCAAGAAAACCACCAAGCTCAGAGAGCACCACAGAAGTGGCATTACATCTTCTTGATTTAGCCTTGCACCTTGTTCCCAGCAGCATTTGAGAGGCTCAAAAATAAAGTCAGCAAAGGAACTCTCTCCCCCACCCCAACCCCTGCTTAAATTCCAAAATGATATGTTGATATTTATAGTTTCCTGGGACTTACCAAGACCCAAGCAACTGGAAAGGCAATTTGATTCTGGCTTAAGAAGTGAGATACTCAGCGCTGTCACTTTAGAACTATCATGGCACAAAAGTTAAAAGAATGAGAAGTCATAAATCCTGACTATTTCATTCTTGAATCCAGGGATGCTGTAATCATATCTATCTATCTATCTATCTATCTATCTATCTATCTATCTATCTAT